CAGGTGGCTTTTAAGAAATGCCACGGAGGGTTTGGCGTGTGCATGGAGTCCCTGGGCACTGCGGGTCTGGCGGAGGAGGGCAGGGTCAGCTCCCGCTTTGTGCAGTAGGGTGGGAGGAGCAGTGGAAATCGGGCTGGGGGGGTGGGGATGGGGTAACCAGGGAAAGGAACGGGCCTGCTGCGCTGGTAAAACAAAATCCTACTGTCTCCTGGTGCTGAGGAAGTGTTGAGGGTCCGAAGGCAGCGTGCTGCAGCGTCCGCAGGGTGATGTGAACTGACCTCCTGACCCCTAACTAGACCTGCTGGCGTTCCTTTTCTTCTTCTTTCTCCCTGAGCATCCTGAATCCAGACCCCACCCCTGTCTGCAGCGAGGGTGACGGGCTCCAGCGAAGCAGTGGTGTGTCCCAGCTGCCCCTCTTGTGTCACCCGTCCCCAGCTGGCATCACCCTTCCCGCCACGGCTCTTGAATTTCTTGTTCGGCCTTTGGTTTCCCGCCCTTTACGCCGTCTCTGATGTTGTTCTTGCAGGGGGGTGAACACCTTTTCTCCGGAGGGGAGGCTGTTCCAGGTGGAGTATGCTATCGAGGCCATAAAGGTACCGTCAGCTCCGTCTGGTTGCCAAACTGTGACCTTAAGGGCTCTTTCACCCCCAAAGCTGGGGTTTGGTCAGGAAGGAACCAGGCAGATTCCGTGGGTTGGGCTCTGGCCTCACTGGGCAGGATTTGGCCGGCTCCCAGGGCAGGAGCTGCTGCCTTTCCCCGCTCCTGTGTGTGACTGGCAGCTCTTTGCCAGCCTCTCACCAGGGGTTGCAGTGGGAGAGCTGCGGGCCAGTGCTGGATTCCTTCCATCCAGGCAAACCTCCTCCAGCTTTGCTCTTGTATGGGTCATGGAGACTCCAAAGCCATCAGTTTCCCCAAAATGTTCCCTTCCCTGTCTCCTACCCACCAATTGACCCCCAAACCAAACACAACCTGCAGATGCTGGTCCCCACATCAAACCTCCTCCAAGCTGGCGCTGAAATGAGAGATCCTGGGTGCCCCCACACTGTGATGCTGCCAGCGTGTTGTGGCTGTAAACGCTTGTCTGAGAGCAGAGGAGAGCTCTGCTCCCTCCTCTCAGCCTTCCCTTCAGGTCTGTGGGCTTTATGAGGATGGAGTCCCTTGGAAAAAAACCCCAAAAGTGGCAACTTTGCTCTTGCTGGGTGAACTTCCCTTTCCTTAGGAGTGGGTCACTGTTTGCTCAGGTGATTTTTTAAAACCCGAAGGTAAAGGTTGTTATGGAGCAAACCAACCTACCCCAGCAGAGCCCAGTGGCCTTTCTGGGGTGTTAAGTGTTTGTAACTGATAAATGTTCTTCCTGAGGACGTGGGTGTCGACTGGGAATGAGTTTAAACTTGGTGGGAGAAATTGGTTGAGTGCTGGAGAAGCTGTGAGCAGGCCTGGGTTTGGACTGGGGAAAAAGAGGGTGCTGGCTGCTTCTTCCCTGCACTGCTTTAGCTCGGTAGAGTGAAGGGAAGTAAAAACCCTCAGAAGGATGTCGGTCACCTTGCTGCCTTCACCGTGACAAACACACCCACCGGAGCAGCAGCCCTTCCTGGCTTCTCCCTCTCTTCCAGATTCCTCATTATCCGTGAAACTGCCGCGGCTCAGGCAGCTCTTAGACGTGTCACGTGCGCTGCCCCGCGGGTTAGGGGTGCAGGAGGGGGTTTTATTCGTGTGCTTCAGCTTCCTGAACAAACCTCCACCTGAAGTGACATCGAGTGTCCCTCCTTCCCTCGGGGCTGGTGCGCAGCGGTGGCAGGGCGATGGCTGCACCCCCGAGTGCCTGCACCGGGGCGATGCCCCTCCGCCAGGCCGGCGGTTATCGGTGCAGCTGCCCGGCGGAGGTTGCTGCTGACATTTCCCTGTCTGGCCTGACTCGGAGGCAGCGTCTCCACACCGCAGCTGGGCCGGTTATTCCGGTGAATTCCCCGGTGTGGAAGAGCTGCGAGTGGGGGGAGCCCGGTAGGGGCTGGGGGGGAGCTGCCAGGAGCACTTGGGATCTGATCCCCCCCCACCTCGGCTGTGCTCGTGGCCCTGGCGACACCGTGGTGTCCTGTGGCAGACCAGGGTGGAGCTGGCTGCGGGGGGTTCTCTGCCGCCTGGCGAGCGGTAGGTGCGCACGATGCTCTCGGTCCTGTTGTAAATGTTGTGGGTACAAGGACATTTGGGAGAAAAAGAGGTAATGGGAAGAAAAACGCCCAGCCCAGCAGTACAGAATTAAGGCTGTTATGTGAAATCCTCCTTTCTCACTTTAAAATTTAATTTCTGTCTCGCCCAGGCAGCTTCCCGAGGCCTTTTAAATCCAGGAGGCTTGAAGCTGTAAAATTTGATGTTTCCTGGGAAAGAGGTGAATGGTTTGCAGCAGCCCTGCTGGGTCCTGATGACCTCATCAGCTGGGAAGCCGTGTGGGTTTAACCTCTCCAGTTCCCCAGTTCACGTCCTGCCGTTGAAAACTGGGTGTGCAAAGCCGTGGGGTGTTGTGGGTGGGTGTCTGTGGGTGGTGGTGTGATGATCTCCCAAAAACCAAATCACCTGCACATAATACGGCTCCTACTGAGCGTTGAGCCCCTCCTGTTTGTCTGAGGGGTGGCGGCTGGACCCCGGGGCGGGGCGGTGGTGGTGACTGCCTGGTGGTTTTCAGCTTGGATCCACGGCCATCGGGATCCAGACCTCGGAGGGCGTCTGCCTGGCCGTGGAGAAGAGGATCACCTCCCCCCTCATGGAGCCCAGCAGCATCGAGAAGATTGTAGAGATCGATTCCCACATAGGTAAGGACAAAGGAGGGAGCTGTGGGGGTCCCTCTGGTGGAGCCCCGGGAGCACCCCTCGAGTTTTGGAGAGAGATCTGTGTCAAGAACGTGAAGCTGTGTCCCCTGGGAGTGGCAGAAGCGCCGTGTCGGGGCTCACCTCCCCTGCAGGCAGCTCTGCCGAGCCGAGCGGGCCACGCTCATCCTTCCCAGTGAACACCAGGTCCTGGTCACTGGTTTTCCAGGCGCCAAGCAGTGCCGGGGGCAGGAAGAGGCAGCTGAAGCACCCCCCCCCCCCATCCTCCGCCTCAATGACCTCCCTCACGAAAGCTCATCCCAAATTTAGCTCTGGGAGGGCAGGGAATTACTGCAAAAGGCTTGACTGGAGGCCAGTTTGCTCTGGGAGCACTAATGTCAGCCTCTGCCCCCGCTCGCCGCAGCCTCCTGCGCCGGGAGGGGGCCCGCGACGCGCTCATGACCAAATATGTCGCCTCGAAAAGCAGGAGACCTCCAAAATACCTACGTTGCTGCGGAGAGGGGTCATGGAAGGAGCTCTTGAAGAGTCTAATTTCCTCCTCCCGCCCGCTGACGGTACAGCCCCTCTCTTCCTGGAGCAGGATCTGTGCTGGAGGCTCCTGCTGCCTCCTCCCTGCAGCGGGGGCGGGGGAAGGAGTTCCCCTTCCAAGCAGGTGGCGTTTCTCTCTGTTAGCTTCTCTTGGAAGGCCTCAAATGGGGGCTCCTTGAACCAGTTCAGACTGGGGGAGGCGTGATGGGGAGAACTGGGTTGTGTACCCGCCCTTCAGCCGGGTGTCCGTCCTTCCTCCTGAGCGTTTCGGTCCCGTCCCCCTCCCTTCCCGGCACGCTGCGGCGCTGCTCCCGCGCGGGGACCCCGCTCCGCCCCGGGGGCTTTGGGGGGTCTGGGGGGAAGAGCACAAAGCACATAACGAGTGAAATGACTCGTGGTTTCCCTCTCTGATCCCAGGGTGTGCCATGAGCGGCTTAATAGCTGATGCAAAGACTTTAATTGATAAAGCCAGAGTGGAGACTCAGGTGAGACTCGACCTTTCTTGTCTTAAAACAGCAGCACGAGGCTCGGGGGCATCTCGGGAATCTCTGGCACAGGAGGATCGTTAGAGCAGAGGAGCTGGTGTGGAGTGGGAGGCTCGTGGGGAGCGTAGCTTCTGCCTCTCGGGGCTTTTGCAGAGCAGATGGGCGGGATCTCCCTGTACTTCTGTGTTTTTCTCTGGTGGGAATCCTACGGCGGGTTCTCCAGTGGTTGTCTTGGCACTGGTGGATGCGCTCCGGTGAGCGTGTGGGGCTGTCTCTCTTACCTGTTGTCTTGGTTTGAAAGACAGGTGT